TTTTTAATAACAAAAACTAAAAGGAATTTATACCAAGAGAAAGGTCACAACAGGAGAAAAGACTTAAAGGTGTTATAATAGGAGAAAGACTAAATAAACCACAGTATAGCCAATTTTAAATGCAGGATTTTCAAAGACTTTTTAATGCCAGAGGATAATGCCCACATGATCATGTTTAATAATTTTTTAAAAAGCAGAGTACACATAATTCCAGTTATGTTACTACATGCTTAAGAAAAGATCAGGGGTGTATTTAACCCCGATGACTCTGGGAAATTGTATTACAGGTCATTGTTGTCTTTTGCTTTTTTCTCTTCTTTTTGTATTCTGGATTGATAATCAGAAAAAAAATTCATCTGACTAGGCTAAAATTTCCACCTCAAGAAATTTATTGAGTAGACAGGCAAGGATATTGTCTATCAATGGCAAAAATCAAAATCTATGTCTATCACTTGGATTTAGTTATAGGTTGGGATATTGCCTATCAACAGCAGGGAAAATGCCTATCAAAAGTAATCAAAACCTATGTGTATCACTTGGATACATTGCTCCAGCCCCTTCTCACAACTCCCTGTCAGCAATTCATATACTTTGAGGGATATTATCTGTAACCTTAAGGTTGTAAAATGCAGAACCAGAAACTTCATTCCGACATTTACTCAAATATTTGCGTACAAACCCAGTAAGACAGCATGGTGGAAAGAGGAGTTCTATTCCCTTTGCCTGGGTTCAAATACCACTTTCCTACTTCCAGTCCTTGTGATCATGAATAAGTTTTGCATCCACCCTGAGTCTCAATTTCATCATCAATAATAGCTTTCACAGGAGGTTGGAATAAGAATAAATCAGTGACACATTCAAAATGCTAGCACATAATGAGCATTAATCAATGTGGGTGAAGTTCCTGACCCCCTGTCCCCCACCCCTTGTCTCCATTCTCACCCTGTATCAGAATACTTGCAACAGAAAGTGGCTTACAATCCTAAAAACAAACAAACAACAAAACAATATATAGGCACACAGGCATGTCTATACTACATGACATAATGATGTAATCAGATGCTTGCATCTACTTATAATGGTTTTACAGAATATAATAATAAATGTTTTTCTCATTTACATTTGGCATTTCAAAATAAGGACTAAGTATATATATATATATTTTTAAAGATTTTATTTATTTATTTGAGACAGAGAGAATGAGAGAGACAGAGAGCACATGAGAGGGGGGAGGGTCAGAGGGAGGAGCAGACTCCCTGCAGAGCAGGGAGCCCGATGCAGGACTCGATCCCGGGACTCCAGGATCATGACCTGAGCCGAAGGCAGTCGCTTAACCAACTGAGCCACCCAGGCGCCCAAGGACTAAGTATATTGGGCATAAATATATATCACGAAGGCATATATATGATAAATGCACATACCTAATATGATATATATGCCATGGGTGGAGACTAATAAAAATGTATTGATGACTCAAAAAAAAAAAAAAAACCCCAAACCAAACCAAAACAACAACAACAAAAGAAAGTGTCTTACACAGCAAGAAGTCCAGGGGTAGGGCAGCCCCTTTTTGTCAACATAGACCTTAGTGACACCATCTGTTTGCCCTGCTACCCTCAGGGAATAGCTTCCCTCATGGTCACAAGGTGGCTGCAGCATTCCAGGCATCATATCCATACAGGACAGTGCCCCCAGGAAGAGAGGACCTTCTCCAGGGTATCTCTCTTGGAAGTAAGGAAATCTTTCTTAGCAGCCCCCAGCACACCTCCTCTCATGTCTCAGAGGTCAGGATTTGTCACATGCCCACACCTAACCCAGGCACTACCACCAGCTTAGATCAGAGAGCTTTGGACAGAAAAGGGGGCTGGGCTCCCCTGAAGCATATCGTAAGGTGGAGTCTGGTATATGCCTGAGCAAAATTAGTGTTCTGATAGGGAAAAGGAAAGGGGTCATGGATGCTGGGGCACATTATTCAACGCTCTGCTACACTCTGCACTGCATGAAGCCTCGTCTAGTGTAAATTCCAAGAGATGAGACTGAGCTAACCAGCTGGGAGATGGAGGAGGGGGGGAACACAGGGAATGTAGAAAGCAAGTTGTCCAGAGCAGACTCCATCGGGGTGAAGAGGCCTGATCACAAAAGAAAGGAGGGAGAGGGCTCAGGAGACCTGTCTAACTACTTCACGGTTCTGTCTAGAGCAAGTTCTGCAGGCGCATAAACTGGGACAGGTGCCACATCAAGAGCAAATGCAGGATAGTCTGCACTGGCGTGAATAGAAGGTGACAACAAATATGGCCTCACTGGAGATGAACACTGATGTCTGGGCGTGTGAATCATGGAGGCCTGTGGAGAGGAGTGGTGCGACTTCTGAGCGTGGAGATATGGAGAACACAATCCCTTGAATCTTCTATTGAACAATTCCTAAACGTTGGCCACCTACTGTGAACTAGCCCCTGAAGAAAATAAAAGATATAGTAGAAGACCCCGGCGCGGGGAGGGGTCTGGCTTCGAAGAATTTAAACTCTGCTGGAGGAGTCAAAAGGAACCAAAGTGGAGTCTAGAGCAACATCGGACGCTACGGGAGCTCAGCAAAGCTGGAAGAGAGATGGCTGAGGGGCCAGGCGCCGGAGGGGGGCTTGAGCTGGGAGCAACCCCGGGAGGGTCAGGGTCTGAGTTAGGGCAGACAGAAGTGGAGGGAGAGAAAAGAGCCATAGGGATGGGAGGGAGGGTGATAACAAGGAGAAACTCTGACAAGTATGGAGACACTCTAGTGGGTTATGAGAAATTATTTGGATAGAGAGAGTAGGGCCATGGAGATTTAATTTCACGTATTAGGCCTGTTAAGTTTTGGTGGGGGCCTCTTTCGATGGAGTCGCCTGGTGGTGATTACGAGGGTATTGTTCTGCTTGGGGGCTTTATTGTGAAAATGAACTTAGCGAGGCGTGTGAGCTGATCTACAGGCACATTCTTTCCTGTGACTTCGACAAGAATCCCATCAGCAGCCTGGCCAGGGACTCACTGCCAAAACCAGCTTCGAGCAGCAAGTGTGGTAGTGGAAAGGAAACAGGCTTTGGACCCAGACAGACTTCATGAAAGGTCTAGCGCTGTCACTCATTAGCAAATTACTTCATCGCTCAGAACCTTAGTTTTTCCAGCTGTGCAATGGGCATAATACCTACCCCACAGACAGGACTCAAAATACATTCTCTTCCCTCCTTTTGCTTAACAAAACTATTAAAGCAAAACCTCCTGTGCTCAATCTTACATAATAGTGTTGCATGGCAACTTCAAAACTGTCTCATCCATAAACACCTAAGGCGGGGAGAAGTTTCGAGTCTTTCTTGATTTAAAAACTTGAAATTTTCTATCAAATTTTGGAATGTTTTTATTTTAAAATTAAGCAGAAAGCAGGGCACCTGGGTGGCTCAGTCAGTTAAGCGGCCAACTCTTGGTTTCAGCTCAGGTCATGATCTCAGGGTGGTGAGATGGAGCCCCACGTTGGGCTCCGTTATCAGTGCAGAGTCTGCTTGAGATTCTCTGCCTCTACTTCTCCCTCTGCCCCTACCCCTGCTTGTGCGCTCTTTCTCAAATAAATAAATAAATAAAGTATTTAAAACAAATTAAGCACAAAGTAATATGATTTATCTATAACAGGTAAACATTTTTATTTCATCCTGAACTTTTGTTTTATTTTTCTACTTTTGAATTAAATATTCATTACCAATTGAACTGAGAAGAGAGAAAGAGGCACAGAGGTGAGGGGAGAATGAGTAGATTCTTACAGTGTGAGCATGTGAGACATCTACTTTTACTTTAGCATTTGAATTTTCTAAAAAGGCTATTATTGCCTTTTATACTTTAAAAACAATATTTTTAAAGGTTTTATTTATTTATTGGACAGACAGAAACACAGCTAAAGAGGGAAAACAAGCAGGGGGAGTGGGAGAGGGAGAAGCAGGCCTCCCACTGAGCAGGGAGCCCCATGTGGGGCTTGATCCCAGGACCCTGGGATCATGACCTGAGCTGAAGGCAGACGCTTAACGACTGAACCACCCAGGCACCCCTAAAAATAATATATTTTTAACTTAAAAAAATGTGATTCTCCTGCTTTTACTTCCCCCAAACCAACCCTGGGCAAGCAGCAAGGCAGTATGCATGAGGGAGTGAACCAGCTCCTGAGATACTCCAGCTGTTCAGCAAAAGGCCCAAAAGGAATGGCGACTGGTGTAACCAAAAGGAGGGGGCCATGAGTAACATTCCCAATTTTGCCCTTCACCTTCAAAAAGGAAAATACCACATATCACTCATTCAATCAAAAGGCTTGTTTCCCAGCTCTTTCCCAGGAGGAAAACAAAACAAAAAATACATTATCAGAAAAGAAAAGGAAGAGAAAGAAAAGAAAACCTAAAACGACAGAAATAAAAATGAAAACTATTTGGAAGGGTGGTGTGAGGATGGGTGAATTTTTTTTCTCCTGTTTCATCTACACCATCAATGTCTGCTGTAATGAAGGTTGGGAGTCCTCTGATGCAGACCATGCTCTTTTGGAAGATGTGTGAGGTGTGGGATGGGGGTAGGCGTGTAGTGTGTATACGGGGATGTGAGTGTGGGAGTATTACGTGTGAATCTGTGTGTGTGTATGTGTAACAGGAATGCGGATGTGCATGGAATGTGTGTACGAGAGAGCGTGGGCGCGTGCTGGGGAGTGTGGACCGCTTGTGTGTGGAACGTGAAGAATGTGCGCAGTGTGGCGTGTACCCTGGTGTGTGTGAGACTGCGGATGTGGACGTGCGAGCAGTGCGGAGGGTTGGTGTGTGCGTGCAGAGCGCGCGCGGTGCCAGCGGAGTAGAGCGTGTGCGGGCTGGGGGCGGGGCGGGCGCGGGCAGGTGCGTGCGCCCCGCGCAGCCGGCCCTCGCCGCGGCGCCCCCGGCGGCCCCGCCTCCGCCCCGCGCCCGCCCCGCCCCCGGTGGTCCCGCCCCCGCCTTCCCCGCGTGGCCCCGTCTGAGGCTGGAGCGCGCGGCGCCGGAGGCCTCCCCACTGCGGAACCCGGCGGGGAGGGGAGGGCGGCCTGGGGCGGGCGCCCCGCGCCGGAAGCGTGCCGGTCGCGCTGGGGTGGCCGCGGACATGTGGAAGATGTCCTTCAAGGTGAGCGCCCCGGGCTCCGGGAGGGAATGCCGGGCCGGGCGGCAGACGTGCGGCGGCGGGCCCGCACCTGCGGAACTCCCGGGGTCGCCGCCGCCGGCGCCGCGGGGCCCGCAGGGTGGAGTGAGCGCTGCCCTGGGTGCTGGCGGGGGACGGGAGGAAGCGACCGGGCTGGGATGGCTGCTGTGGTTTGTGGTTTGGTTGTGTGGGCTTTGCTTGAAAGGCTTTCGGTACTTACGGCCGCAGGTCCGGGGAGCCCGCCGCGGGGCGAAGGGGCGGCTGGGACTGTCGCCAGGGTAACGGGCGGGGGCGGGGCGGGGAAGAAGCCCGCGGTCTGCGCTGTCCTGCGGCCGTGCTCCGGGAGAGACCCGGGCTGCGGCACCGATTCCCCATTCTGCGTCCTCGTTTCGGAATGCTAGCGGCACCACTGTCGCCTCCTCTCCAGAGCACTTTTCGGACGCCGAAGCTGAGTGCCCAGCAGAGTGCAGCTGCAGCTGATGACCAGGCTGCAGGGTCCAAAGGAGTCTTGTCTTAAAAGAGTTTAAAGTCATCCCATTGAATCTTCACATTTCAGTATGAAAGTGATGATCCTTGATTTGCCTCTATTGGAAGGTCTTAATACAAATAATTAAAATGTATTGAGCACGTAAAATGTGCCTGACTCTGAGCCAAGGGCATCTGGGCGCATCTTCTGAATCCTCAGGAAGATCCATGAAATGGTACGTTCGTGTATGTCTCTCATTTTTTTTTTTTTTTTATTTTTTTAAAGCAAGAAGACTAAAACATGGTGGAGTTAAGTAATTTATCACTATCTTGCGGCCAGTACGTGAATGGTGTTAACATTGAAACCTTAATGTGTCTGGCTTCCGTCTCTTACAGTAGCTCATGTAAACAGAGGGATGATATGTTGAGATTTGCATGTTAGAAAGATCTCTGGCCACAGTTTGGAGAAGGCAGTGGAACTGGGGTCATCTTGTTAAGTGGTAGGGACTAGGGAACAGGGGTCTGGAATGGAAGGAAGTAAACAAATGTGAGTGACTTAAAAAATTTTTGATCTATGGAATTCTGTAACTGATGTTATTCCCTGAGTTAGAGAAGGCTAGAGAGGTAAAGATGTAATGTTTGTTTGGGACATGCAAAGTTTAAGGATGGATGGAAGTCCAGGTAGAGATGTTGATTAGACAGATCTACAAACTGGGAACCCCGGGAGTATAGTCTAGGCGGGAGATAGAGATGAGATGTAGGAGTGAGCAGTGTTAAGTGGTAATTAAACCCATGAGAATGAATGCAGTTGCCCTGTGACACTATGTACAAGTGGAAAACAGAGGACTGAAGACAAAATCTTGAGAATGAACAGAATAAGAGAAGCCCATTGAGAAAACTGAAGAGCAGCCAGCGATGTATGAGAACAATCTGAAGCGTGTGCTGATATTTAAGCCAAGGATCTCTAATCCTTTGATAAAGATGGGGAGGAACTCAAAGATAAATACTACAGAGAAATCAAGCTGGGAATTGAGAAGTGTCCATTGTATTTAGTAACAAACGGCCACTGCTGACCTTGCTCAGAGCAGTTTCAGTGAAGCGCTGGCTTCAGAAGCCTGATTGCAACAGCTTCAAAAGAGAGTGGGTGGCAACCACCAGTGTCCAGAGCTGTTTCAAAAAATTCTGCAAGAAACAGTGGCCGCAGCAAGGATTTGGAGCAGGCCAACGGTTTGTTTGCTTTAAAATGGTAGAGACTCGGGTGCCTGGGTGGCTCAGTTGGTTAAGCGACTGCCTTTGGCTCAGGTCATGATCCTGGAGTCCCGGGATCGAGTCCCGCATCGGGCTCCCTGCTCAGCGGGGGGTCCACTTCTCCCTCTGACCCTCTTCCCTCTCGTGCTCTCTGTCTCTCATTCTCTCTCTCAAAAAAAAAAAAAAAAAAATCTTTAAAATGGTAGAGACTTGACCATCTTTAAATGATGACAAATATCTCAGCAATAAAAAGACAAATAACCCAATTTAAAAATGGGCAAAGGAGATGAATAGACATTTCTCCCAAGAAAATATACAAATGGCCAATAAGCACCTGAAAATATGCTCAACACCTTTAGTCATCAGGGAAAGGCAAATCAAAACCCTAATGAGACACCACTTCACACCCACTAGGATGACTATAATCAACAAGACAGACGGTGTCAGGTGTTGGCAAGGATGTGAAGAAATTCAAGTCTTCATACCTTGCTGTTTAGGAATGTAAAATAATGCAGTCATATTAGGAAACAGTCTGGTGGTTACCATATGACCCAGCAATTCCACTCCTACATATATACCCAAAAGAAATGAAAACACCTGTTTACACAAAAACTTGTACACAAATGTTCATTTTGTTATTCATAATAGCCAAAAAGTGGAAACAACCCAAGTGTCCATCATTTGTTTATCATTGATAATAAACAAAATGTATGTATTAGCTTGAGCTGCCATAACAAAATACTATAGACTGGGCAGCTTAAACAGCAGGCATTTAATTTCTCACAGTTCTAGAGGTTGGGAAGTCCAAGGTCAAGGTGCCAGCAGATTCAGTCTGGTGAGAGCTCTCTTCCTGGCTTGTAAACAGCCACATTCTTACTGGATCCTCATAAGGAGAAAGGAATCTCTGGTGTCTCTTCCTTTTCTTGTAAGAACACCGATCCCATCATGGGGATTGTACCCTCTTGATCTCATCTAACCTAATTACCTGCCAAAGACCTCACCTCCAAATACTGTCACATTGGGAATTAGGGCTTCAACATGAGTTTGGGGGGGGGGACACAAATCTTCAGTCCATACCATGGTGTATCCACACAATGGAATATCATTCAAAAGAAGGAAGCCCTGAAACATGCTACAATGTGGATGAACCTTGATAGTATTATGTTGAGTAAAAGAAGCCAGACCCAAATGATGCCATTTACATGAAATGTTCAGAATAGGCAAATCCATAGAGATAGAAAGCAGATTCTTGGTTGCCTAGAGCTAGGGAAGAATCGGGGGATGGGGAGCAATTGTTAATAGGTATGAGATGATGAAAATGTTTTGGAATTGTGACAGTTATGCAGCCTTAGGAATACACTAAAAACCACTGAATTATATGCTTTAAAAGGGTGAACTTTATATGTAAATCAGAATCTCAATAAATAAGTATTTGAAATGATAGGGAGACCTGATAGAGGGGATGACTGAGCTGAGTGAGGAAGCATGGAGGAGGTGGGCGAGGCAGAGCGTGTGAGCGGGGTTTCATTAGTTGTAGGGGTTCCCACTAGACAGGTGGGGAGGAAACCCTCTTTCATTGGGGTTAGGGGAAAGGAGGTGCAGTTGAGCAATGGTATCTACATTTTATAAAAGTGAAGACCAGGATGAGATCAGAATTTGGGGTGGGTAGGAAAGAAGGTGTCAGAATTTGCCATCAAGAAAGGAGAATAACCAGGAGATGACAGCTAGTAGGTGAGGTGAGGCACAGGACAAGCTGGTGGGATGGCCTGAGTCGTGTGTACTTGACCGGAAGGGCAGCGTCTCAAAGACAAGTGAGGAGAGCCTAACCGTATTTTCCACTCCAGGGCTGATGTGGGAGAAGGTCCAGCCCCCACCAGCTGGGAGGTGCCAGGGAGCTCACAGCAGGGAGACAGAAGAAGTGCTCTGAGCCAGGTTAAGGACGGCAAGTTGATTTTCCATGAAGCAGACTTCCAAACAGCACACAGGGAAGGCCTGAGGACAAAGGGAGCAGAGACGCAGGCCCGTTGACTGAGCCTCCACTAACCCTAGCTAGCATACTATCAAACATATCAAAAGGTGCCCACAGCCCAAGATAATAGACTTTTTATTGTATATTTTTGGAAAGGTTTTTACTATATTGCTATTAAAACGATTTAGCCATGAATACCATTTAATTTATATTGGCCCATGATTTTTCTGCAACTTTCATATATAGTAATTCTTGTGCAGGGAGAAAATCAGACCTACAAATTATTTTCATGTGCCATCAATATTTTATGAATATCAAATTCAGCGGTGAATAGAGTTGACAAAGATGATACATTTTGTAACTATTTTATTCATTCACTTTGATTTTAGAGCCATAGATTAACTTTATTTTCACAGGCCTCTGAAAGTCTCATAGGCCCTCTTACCTGGTACCAAAGCCGCTTTTAAAAAGCCCTGGCATTGTTGGCTGAGTCTGTGGGAGAATAAACAGCCTCTTATTGATGACAGAGAGTCACCGCATGTAGGGCTGTTTGCTTCTGAGCCACACGGACCCCTTTGTAGCTACTTCTCCTTGCTCCATTAAGCAATCAGCAATCACTGGTATGCCTCCAGTAAACCAGGAAACTTCCTCTTCCAAAACTGGCAAGTCCTCATTTGTTCTGGTTGGGAAAACAGACACGTTTGTTAGAATTATTTTTAAAGTAAAAGCAAACTCAGTAAAAGCAGACGCAGGTCTGAGCCTTTTTGTGGAATAAAGGTCACGCATTTCAGTACACTGACTTGTGACTCTCAACAGCTGTTTCAGGACTTACTCTTCAGGCCTGAGGTTGCCAAAAGCCTAACACAATGAGGAAGGAGACTCTTAACGTGGTGAAGGAGGTCACCACAGTAGAGGAAACATTGCTAGAGGAAGAACAATGCCTGTATCTTTCTTGAGCACATTTTCCCTAAGAGGACAAAGGGCTCAATACCATGTTTCACCTTGGTGATAGAAACTGCTCATGGCTGGGCTAAAAGTAGGGGAACTTGTATTTTCCAACCTTGCTCTGAAAGTGCATAAATTATCTCATAATAGGCTTCAATTCACCAGTCAGCTAAAATTATTTGAATTACAGGAAAATAAATTTACAAAGCCACATATGTTTTTCAACAGCTTTATTGAAATACAGATCACATACCATATAACTCACCCATGGAAAATGTTCATTTCAGTGGTTTTTGGTATATTCAGAGTTGTGCAACCATCAGCACAATCAATTTTAGGATATTTTAATCATCCCCCC